AGAGGAGAGAAGAGAAGAGAAGAGAAGAGAAGAGAAGAGAAGAGAAGAGAAGAGAAGAGAAGAGAAGAGAAGAAGAGAAGAGAAGAGAAGAGAAAAAAGAAACAGCAGCCAAGAGTTAAATGAGACTGTGGCCAAAGGTCTCCAGCTTCACAGGACTGAAAGCCCCGAATCTGGCCAACACACAGCTTTTATTTCTCCACATACCCGGAAGTAGCACTGTTGTCTCCACAGTCTGTGAGTCTCATTCCTGAGAACTTGCTCATGCCAGATTACCCATGCCTGCAAGCTGCTATTACCGAAAGTCCGCCCACGGAGATCAGACAAATGCTCTGCCTTCATATACCAATACGCATACAACCCAGGGAAATAAGATTATTATGCTGAGGACAGGTACTATCACATCATCAGGTCACTTCCCAAGCAGGTTGCGGGAAGGAATGTAGCTACAGAGGTAGACCTCCAGTCTCTTTGGGGGCAGGTGAGGACTTTTACCCACTTCCATCAGCCCCGAGATTTCTCCTGATGGCTCCCACACGACTGTGCCTGTCTTAGGTTGTTCCTGCCTCGAGGAATCTTACCCATCATTGGCTAACCAGCCATCTTTTGGGGCCAAACAGGGAGACGCAAGGTTATGAGCAGTGTCCTGCAAAGGGTCAGTTTAGGGGTAAGCGCGGAGAGACAAACGGCTGGACAGTTGCATGGTAACATCTCCCCCTTTCTGTTTTTTGCAGTATGAGAAACACAGACTTAGTGGATTTTTCATTCAATGCCCTTCAGAGGGTTTTTTGTCCACATTTGAGGACTAAACAAAACAAACAGAGAATAATAAACAGAATTGCCATTGCACCCGCAAACCTTTCAACCAAAGTCTTTATCCAATTAATGGGATTTAAAGCAGAGAGTCCTTCCGCAGCCATGGAGAATGTTTCCTCTCCAGGGAGGAGCTGGAGTTTGGTGTAGACATCTGATCCCACAAATGGTCTCAGCCATCTATCTTCTCCGCTGGTTGTTTCTCTTCTTTTGGCTGCCGGTCAGGTCGATTTTCGGTGAGCTGTTATTCATGGTGAGGTTTGACACACCGACCAGGTACCCACATAGAACGTTCTTCTGGGCCTGGAGAAATACAAGCAAAACCTCGTCCCCATGTTAGTAAGGTTCCTAGATACCATTGATTAGTTTGAATATCTTTCTACCAGATTGGAACATTCTCCAAAGGTTTCGGGCTTTGAGAATTAGTATGCCTTTCTGCGGCAGTATGTCCAAGGTGTGGTTCATTACCAGAGAAATTAAAAAAATTCAGAGTAAACATAGTTTCTGCCAATTGTACTTGCGGGAGGTCCTTACTGTCTCCCCCTTTTTGTTTTTGAAGTTGTTTTTTCAAAGTGGCATTAGCATGTTCAACAAAGGCTTGGCCTTGTGGGTTGTAAGGAATTCCTGTTTTATGATTAATTTTCCACAGTTTACAGAAGTTAGCAAACTTTGTGCTAGTATAAGCAGGACCATTGTTCTGTTTTAATCACTTGAGGGAGTCCCGTGATTGAAAAACAGACAAGCAGATGGTGGCAGAAGTGTGTGCGGTTTCTCCTGTTTTGGCAATTGGTACAAGAAAGCCCGAGGCAGTATCAACAGAGATGTGCACAAATGATAAACGTCCAAAGGTCGGGACATGAGTCACATCCATTTGCCAGATAGCACTGGGGACTAAATCCCTAGGATTGGCCCCTTCAGGGTACTCCTGTGGGGCTATAACAATTTGGCAAGTAGGATAAGTTTGGAGAATCCATTGAACTTGTTTATAAGTAGTGGGAAATCAAGTTCGAAGACCGCCAGCATTGATATGAGTTAAAGAATGAAACTGTGTTGCCTCAGCAACATGAATGCTTCCTACCAAGGAATCAGCAAAAGCATTGCCATGGGTCATAGGACCAGGTAATGAAATATGCGCATGAATGTGCGTAATAAAAAATGGATGTTGGCGGTTTCTTACAACCTGTTGAAGTTGTATAAACAAAATCTGTAGAGATAGATTCGGATTATGAGAAAAGGACACTGTCACAATGTTTTGAACAGTATGGACAACACAAGCAGAATCAGAAACAATATTTAAAGGACCAGAAAAATTCTTTAAAGCAGTTAAGACGGCCACCAATTCAGCCTTTTGTGCTGAAGTGAAGTTAGTGCAGATAAGTTGTTGGCGTTTTTTACTAACAACTGCTGCTTTACCATTGCTAGAGCCATCAGTAAAAACTGTGACACCTTGAGGAATAAGCTCCTGTTGGAGTTTTTTAGGTAGAATCCAATTTGTCTTTTGAAGAAACTGAAATAATTTATTTTTAGGGTAATGATTATCAATAGAGCCATAAAAATTACTGATAGCATTTTGCCAAGATTCAGAATAAACATTCAAATGAGTAATTTGTTGTTTCTTAAAAGGCACTACTATTTTATTAGGTTCCTGTCCATTTAAGTGGCGAACTTTGGTGCAAGCACACAATATGAGTTCCGAAATTAATTCCACATAACTCAGGAGTGACTTAACAGAGTTGTTAGGCAAGAAAAGCCACTCTACCAGGTCATTTTGCTGAACAATTACCACGGTAGGTGAGTGCGGAGTAGGAAAACTTAAAATTTGTAAAGGTTGAGGATCTATACACTGAATTTGAACTTCTTGAATGTTCTACTAATTCTAATTCCTGATTAGCCTGAGTGGTTAGATTGCCAGGACTATCTAGTTGAGGCGGTCCTTGTAAAAGACTGAACACATTACTGAGGGCGTATATGGGAATGCCCAAAGTAGGGTGTAGCCAATTAATGTCTCCTAAAAGCTTTTCTAGATCATTTCAGGTGGAGATTTTATCTCTTCTTATTTGAACTTTCTGAGGTTGAATAGTCTGTCTATCCACAATAGACCCTAAATATTGTACTGGCGTTGTGGTTTGAATTTTATCTGGCGCGATACAAAGTCCTGCTGAGTCGAGTTGTTTTTTAAGTGACTCAAAGCATGCTGCTAAATTTTCTGTGGAAGTCACAGCACAGAGAATATCATCCATGTAATGAATGATATAACAATCTGGAAATTCAGTTCTTACAGGGAGAACAGCTCTGACTACAAAAAGCTGACATATGGTTGGGTTATTAAGCATTCCCTGAGGTAGAACTTTTCATTGATATCTCCTCATTGTTCTTTATTATTAGCTGAGGGTATAGAAAATGCAAATCGAGGACAATCTTGAGGATGCAAAGGGATCGTATAAAAACATTCTTGTAGATCCATAGAGGCTTGTTGTTAGTCCATTTAAGAAGTATGGGAGCTTTTAGCTCTGCAACAGTGACCCTATAAAAAAACCTCTTGATTTTCGGACCTAAAACCTAGTCCTTGTTGAGATGAAGGCTGGATAGGTTGAGTAATTCCTTGATTAGATTTTCCTAATCTTCTCCCTGACTGATATCTTGTCTGTCTCATCATCTTTTGACTTTGAGGACTATATTGCCCTGGGGGGATCCAAATCTCTGCCTCCCATTGTGTAAGTAAATCTCTTCCCCATAGATTAACTGGAATGTCAGCAACATAGGGTTGCAAAAATCCTTTTGACCTTCAGGACCAAGGCAAGGAAGAATACAGACACTTTGGCGCAAGCCTGAAGCTCAGCTGACCCCCACTATGTTAATATTTGGTTCCTGTACTTTCCAATTTTTTGGCCATTCTTGAGAACTAATTGTAGAAACATCAGCTCCTGTTCCTGAGATTTTTTCTGCTAGAAAAATGCCTGCCTGTTCAGTACTTCCAAATCCTCTTGTTCCTCTTTTTTGTGTTTCCTTCTTTCCTGGGAGAGTATATGGGAGCAGGAGTAATTGTACAACCCGTTCTCCCCTTTTTGCTGACCAGGGAACAGATGAGGACATTATAATTTGAATCTCTCCTTCATAATCAGAATCAGAATCAATAATACCAGTGTGAACCGTGATTCCTTTTGATGTTAGGCTAGAGCAGCAGTACTCAACCTTCCTAATGCTTCAACCCTTTAATACAGTTCCTCATGTTGTGGTGACCCCCACCCATAAAATTATTTTCGTTGCTACTCTATAACTGTAATTTTGCTACTGTTATGAATCATAATGTAAATATCTTTTTGTTTTCTAATGGTCTTAGGCGACCCCTGTGAAAGGGTCGTTTGACCCCCAAAGGGGTTGCGACCCACAGGTTGAGAACCATAGGGCTAGAGCAACCGAGGAGAAGTAAAACAGTATTTGGGGGAATCAGTCCAAAAATTCCTGTTGGCACACGTAATGGAAATTCGCCAGGAAGTAATAGAATGTCTTGTGCTGAGCAGATATCTACTGTGCCACTTCCTTCTGTGGTGGGGCTTAATTGCTGTACTGAAAATTTTGGGGAGGAGGCACAGCCTGATAATTTTGAGGCACTGCCTAGATCGTATATGCTCTGGTTGTTGTTGGGGGCTGGGGCTGGTCCCTCCTCCCATTTTCCTGAAGCTGAGTGCTATCCTTATGAAAAGCCGATCCGCATTCAGAGGCCCAATGATTTCCTTTTTGACATCTGGAACATAACCCAGGTTGTCTAGGTCCCACAAGAGCAAAAGTATTAGGCACATGTGAGCCATTTCTATCTTTGTTTCTGCTTTCTTTTCTAGTATGACCAGTTCCTCCAAAATTGTAACAGTTGCCAGAAAACCTCTTCTGACCAATCTTAACTCAAGCCATGGCTTGAGCTAACATATTGGCTTTATACTGCTCTGTTCCAACTCCCTGACACAAACGAATATAACCAGTAAGATCAGTTTTTTCTTTCATATGTTTAATAGCCCTTTTGTAATCATCATTAGCATTATCATAAGCAAGAATTTGTTGAATTACCTGAGCAGTTTGTGAATTAGCAACCTACTTTTTTATAGTATCATGCAGATGAGCCACAAACTCAGTGTAAGGCTCTCTAGGACCTCGTAAAATTATGTGAAAGAACTGGGAGTTTTTCTTTCTGTTTCTATCTTCTCCCATACATTTAAACAAATCCTTCTTAGCTGTGCCACAGCCTGATCATTCATGCCTACCTGCTGGTGTGTACCTTCCCAATTACCTCTTCCTAGTGACTGATCCTTAGTAATAGCAATATTATGAATCTGGTTATGTCTGCTCTGGGTCTCTGCACCATCAATCCACCACGTTTTAAATTGTAAAAACTGAGCAGGCGAGAGACTGGTCTGAGCCACAGCTTTGCCAATCAACAGGAATTAATCAATGTCCATCAGCCAAATTATGGATGATGCCCATAATGTAAAGTGAATTAAGACTATATTGCTGCTGGCCTATCTAAAGAAAGAAGAACAATCGCATATCAACAGACTATCTTTACACCTAAAGGAACTGGAGAAAGAACAGCAAAACAAGCCCAGAGGGAGTACAAGGAAGGAA